TTTGAGTTTACATTATCAGCAGACATAAACTTGCTACAAAATCCCTGCAGAAGCAACACACCGTACGCTACATACAATCACACTGGAACTCTGAGTTTGTTAAATAAGAAAGCAATGTTTATTACCGGAAATACAGTGGTACCTCAGGTTACAGATGCTTCAGGTTACATAAGCTTCAGGTTACAGACTCTGCTAACCCAGAAATATTACCTCTGGTTAAGAACTTTGCTTCAGGATGAGAACAGAAATCGTGCTCTGGCGGCGCGGCAGCAGCAGGAGGCCCCATTAGCTAAAGTGGTGCATCAGGTTAAGAACAGTTTCAGGTTAAGAACAGACCTCCAGAACAAATTAAGTACTTAACCTGAGGCACCAGTTCTTGGAGATGCCTAAAGCCATGCTTGCTCTTGCGCATTAGGCTGGAGAGATTCAAGTATGTCTCCTCTCATGAGGAAGGCATGATGAAGAAGAAAGAGGAAGTGAAGAAGGGAGGTCCGATCAGCAACCCTAAGAGTGTCAGTTTAACACTGAAGGAAGATCAAGAGGTCAGGATGGGAAGGACAGCCTAAGAAGTGAGAAGCTTTCTCTCTTCTACCCTACCCAAGCAGGTACATCACCCAACAGTGCAAGCAGAGTTGCACACCTGACACTCCCAACATCCAGGTTCTATTATAATAAGAAGGTCTGAAAGACCTCTCTCTTTCTCCATTTTCACTATGCATAAATTTATAATGTCTCTACTTTGTTGCATTTTCTTAAATAGACTAAAAAGCCTCCCATGATTTAGCTTTTCCTCTTGTGGAAGATGCTCTGGTCCCTGATAACATTGGCTGACTTTTTATGCACTTTCCCTAGCTCTACAATAACCTTTTTGAGAAGAGGCATCTAACTGGACATAGCATTTGTTAAGTGTGGCCACACCACAGATTTGTATGAAAACATTATATCAGCAGTTACATATTTGTTCCCTTTCCTAAAGACTCCTAGGATGGAATTAATCTTTTCCACATGTATTGCACTCTGGACAGCATTTTAGCTGAGCTTTCCACCATAGCTCTTAATTTATTTCAAACATTTTAACTCTGGTCTTTAGCCAAGCAAGGCTGCCAGAGCACCTTACGAATGTCAGTGGTGAGACAATCCCTTCTCAGAGGCTTACAATATAAAAGACACAACTCAGAAGGAAAGGGAATTGTGAGGGAGAAGGAGTAAAACAGCAAACTCAGACACTAGCTCTTAGTTACAGCGTTCTTATAACAACAAGTTGGAATAGAATGGCTAGTCGTAGTTCAGACTCTGTCTTCTCTTCTCTGCTCTCAGCTAACTGGGGTTAGGTCTGCATTCTAAATTAGGATTCCCTCTCCCCCAAATTTTACACCTACCTTAATAGTCCAACCACCATTAATGTGTGATAATTAAGAACAAAAATCTGCACAAAATATCCATGATGGGACTAAAAAGAAGTGTATAATTTTAAAAAATATTTTAAAAGGAAACTTGTCCCCCCCATGGATTGAAGGCTGCTTGTACATTGCAAATCACTGTGTGTTATGGAAAACCTGTGGCTGTTATTGCTTTAGAGCTGGATTAATCCTGAATCAGCAGCCATTCTATCAGTCATAATGTCCAATGTGAAAGTAAGGGACAGCCAAGTACAAATTATATGGATAAGTTTCAATATAATCCTAAGGTTCTTCAACAGTTTGTTTCAATTAAACCTAAATTTTGTGTGAAATATTGAAGGGCAATCTCTTCCCTGAAGAGCCTTCAGATTCTGATTGCAACAGTATTATTTATAACCAGGGTTAAGGATGTACATGTTAAGATAAGCTTGCAAGGTTATTTTGTGTTTGACAGGATGGTTGGAATTTACCCCCTCTGAGGAGAAATACAAAAGAGAAGAAGAAATATGCTTCTCTTATCTCCAAGATAAAACCTTGAATAAAATGCCAACAGCTTATCTTCAGCTCTACTATTTGGAAATACAAGAACCTGAAATATTAACTTGACATCAAACCATGTATCATTCACAATCTATATACATTATATATAATTTAAAGGCAGTTAAGAACATAAGAAGAGCCTGATGAACCAAGCAGGTAGCCCGTCTATTCCACCATCATGTTCTCACTGGGGCCAATCATATGCCTATAGGAACAGCGTAAGCTAGACCTGAGTGCAATATTACTCTTCCCTCCTGTGGTTACCTATCTCATATTACAACTGTTAATTTTCTTATTGGCAGTATTTCTTGTAGGGGTGGAGTAACCTTTTCAAATCGAGGGCTGCATGTTGGAGGAACTGAACATGGAGGAAGGGGTTAATTTTCTTAATGAGCATAAATCACCCCATGGTCTGAGATAAGTCAACAGGTGCAAGATCAGCCAAGTCAGTTGCTATATAGTGGCACCTTGAGTTACAAACGCTTCAGGTTACAAACCCTGCTAACCTGGAAGAGTTACCTCGAGTTGAGAACTTTGCCCCAGGATGAGAACGGAAATTGTTTGCCAGTGGCGCAGTGGCAGCAGGAGGCCCCATTAGCGAAAGCACGCCTCTAGTTAAGAACAGTTTCAGGTTAAGAATGGACCTGCAGAACGAATTAAGATTGTAACTAGAGGTACCACTGTAGTAACAACCTAGTGTTGTCTATATAAGTGATTAAGGTGTGTCATTTCACTAGCGTCTGTGGTCTTGCGCTGTGTGTTGGGGTCTGTCAGTGAGCCCCCTCCCCCTGGGAGTCTGGGAGTCAGAGTCTGTGTTACGTCTTGAAGCTGGAGCAAAAGAAATACTTTCTGCTTGCATCTGCCAAAGTCAAAAGCCTACAAGCTCTCTCTCTCTCTCTGTGTGTGTCTGGAACTGTATCTTCTATAGCAGTAAACTATTTTGGACCTTAAGCTGCCTTTGTGTGGTGATTGGAACTTGGGGCAACTTTTGCTATATGGGTATCTCACCTCAGATCCCCAACACTGCATTCCCTTCTGAGAGCTGTGTCAGTAGCACATGACACTAGAGGAAAAGTGGGCAAAACAATGAATGTAAAATTTATCCTTCAGGCTCAGTAGGCTAGTTTTGACAACCCTCTCTAGCCCATCCATTCATGTCAAGTGTTCAGGATCACAGCTTTTCACATGATATTTAAAATTGACATCAGCACTTGCATTTTCTCAAAGTTTTGCTTTGGAGTATTTCAGATGACTCCTGTAACAGAGGTTTCCATACACACTCCAATCCCTTGGAGAGATTCCCCCCCCCAAATAATTAAGTTTTCCAATGTGATACTTGGAGTCACTGCAATATCCATGAAGATAGGAAGAATGCTTTTGTCAAAAAGCCCTACAACCCTGCAAGAGGATGTGGCAGTAACTTCTTGACCAGTTTTCTTTGCTTATCCTCCCATCTCATCTCCTGAAAATCAAGCTGAATATAATTTTGCTATACGGGTGCAGTGGGGTGAGGAATGAGGTGGGGAGGAAGCCACTCTTGCTCCCATTATTCCTCTTGGAAAAGCAAGGTTTTCCAGGTTGCTACCATGGAGCTCTAAAACAGGATGAAATTGGGACAGGCATTGTAAAATGAAGAAATGGTAAGAACTGATCATATGTTGTACTGTACAAATCGTTAAGATGCTTAGGGATTCTTTTGTTTTCATCACTTTGGCAGCAGTTGTACATGCACTGAACTCAGCGGGGCTTACATTGGAGTTAAAGTGTAGCATTGCACTGTTTACACAAGATGCCAGGAAAAGTTCTGTGCCAAATTCCCCCCAGAGAAAAAGTGGACGATCCCTTTGCTCTTACAGGCATGGCCAAACTTGGCCTGCCAGATGTTTTGGGACTACAATTCCCATCATCCCTGACCACTGATCCTGTTAACTAGGGATAATGGGAGTTGTACTCCCAAAACTTCTGGAGGGCCAAGTTTGGCCATGCCTGCTGGTCTAGCACCTTTATGAAACAGAATATTTCTAGCACTATCCTAAGTCTTATTTACTTGCAGAAGGGCCACTACATTCAATGAAGCTTAACTTTCCAGTAAGTGTCTGATGGCAGCCATAACTAAAGATTAACCCAGCAACATATCACTAAAGATTAACCCACCAATATATCACCATAAGATCATGGCCACTGGTCCCATCACCTCCTGGCAAATAGAAGGGGAAGAAATGGAGGCAGTGAGAGGTTTTACTTTCTTGGGCTCCATGATCACTGCAGATGGTGACAGCAGTCATGAAATTAAAAGACGGCTGCTTCTTGGGACAAAAGCGATGACAAACCTAGACAGCATCTTAAAATGCAGAGACATCACCTTGCCAACAAAGGTCCATATAGTTAAAGTCATGGTTTTCCCAGTAGTGATGTACGGAATTTAGAGCTGGACCATAAAGAAGGCTGATCGCGGAAGAATTGATGCTTTTGAATTATGATGCTGGAGGAGACTCTTGAGAGTCCCATGGACTGCAAGAAGATCAAACCTATCCATTCTTAAGGAAATCAGCCCTTAGTGCTCACTGGAAGGACAGATCGTGAAGCTGAGGCTGCAATACTTTGGCCACCTCATGAGAAGAGAAGACTCCCTGGAAAAGACCCTGATGTTGGGAAAGATGGAGGGCACAAGGAGAAGGGGACGACAGAGGACGAGATGGTTGGATAGTGTTCTGGAAGCTACCAGCATGAGTTTGACCAAACTGCGGGAGGCAGTGGAACACATGTGGCCCAGAATACTACATAACCCAACATGCACCGGTTCACGTTGGGACCCCAGCTACGCAAAGGGGACCTTCCCCTCTTGCGTGCCTCCGTCATGACGCACTCTGCTCGCCACCCCCCCACTCCCCTTGCGTGCCACTATAGCAAACACTCCCGCTTCGCTTCCAGCCGACGTAAAGTGTAACTTTCTCTTCCGTCTTCTGGGTTTCCCGATTGATTTTCGCGGAGACCAATAGCCGCTTCGCATCTCCTATGCCTCAGCCAATAGAGAGGCTGGGTGGGCGGGGCGTTCCGTCCCAAGCAGCAAAGGCCCCGTCCTGTGCGTAGCGCTGAAGTCAAGGCAGCGGACGCGGCGCGAGGGGAGGGTCGCTTTTAAAGGGCCAGCTGCGGAAGGAAAGTTGTGCGGAGAGTTTCTGTTAGGTCCTGTCAGAGGGGTAGATAAACGGCGCCTCGCCTTTGGTGGGCTGTGGGGAAGGGGGGCGGGAATAATCCCAGGAGCCGCCGGCCGCAGCCATGGAGCAGGCAGCGCCCAAAAGGTAACGGCCGAGGGCCTCCCCGGTTCCCGAGAGGCCGCGGGAGCGGGCGGGGGCGAGGTTTATTTTGGGCGCAAGGGAGGAGGAGGAGGAGGCCAGGCTAGGCCGCACCGCGCAGCTCCCGGGCGCCTCCCTTGACGCTCCGGCTCCTGGTTCCCATGGAAGCTTCCCGGTGGATTCGTCCCCTCTGGCCACCATTTCCTCCCCGCAACCCCTGCTGCCAGGCCTTCCTCTGAGGAGGGATCCGGAGTGTGTGTGTTTCAAATGTACACTTCGCCCTCCCACCTCTTAAAGACATCTATTCTAGTATTAGCTAAGCGTCGGTGGACGCCCCATCATTGCCACAGTTTTGCTGTGTGAATGCGTGTAAATACACGTGTACATTTTCCCCTCCCCCAAGCCGACGCCCCATGTGGGAAAGCATTGAATGCCATGTCTGTTAAACACACACACACACACACACACACACACACTAAGAGGCATGATGGCCTGGATCATGCCTTCCCCAGATCTCTGTGCGGTTTGGGCTAATGTTTCCAGGTAGGCACTAGTAACGTGGGATGTGTACTGCTTGCCTTCATAGCAGGAATTGTGGCATCTCCCCCCTTTGCCATTCTTTTACTATGCTGCTTGTGGGTTTGACAGTTTGGTTAGAGGACATTAAGACTGCATTGGGTCAGTCTGATGACATGCCCCCTCGGTGTACATAGTCTTCATAGTCCCAACAGAGGGATAAAGACCCCACACATGGTCCCATCTGTAGTTCGTGTAGGAGTGGGGCAGAAATTAATTTCTCTCTCATACTTGCATGTACGCCACCCACTTTAGACCTCCCTGCCGGTTCTTCCCATGGGGCAGAGAGAATGTTGCATTTTCCTGAATGTCCTTCCTTTGGTCCCCTTGGAAGAGACCTGCTGAAACATCTGACCTGTATCTTAGTGAAGGGGTGTGGGAATAGAAGTTTGGGGAATTACGGCCTGTCTGCATTATTGCAAATCTTTCTGGAAGTGTATGTATGAAACAGACAATGACAGTAGGTTCTGGCTCAATGTCAAGAACATGCTTCAGTTTAGGCTATTGGATTTCGTTTACTCAAGTTATGGATTTAGGAGAGAGTGCTAAATTGTGAGAAATGAAATCCCTGAAGGGACAGCATCTATTAAAAAAACGGTTTTGGGAATCTTGAAATACACACAACTTATTTTATATTTGGAAGATTATAGGAGGTAAAAACATACATACCCTAAAAACTATGTTTATTGGTATATTACTGTATATATTACCTCATTGTATCTGTGCTAATCTGTTGGGTTGGGTAGATCATGATCTCAAGCTTCCCTTTCCAGCATCTACATAGAAAGCAGACTGTAGGTGTTCTGAATGCCCTGTTATGTGCACTTTCTGAGGATATATTGAATCTTCAAGTTGACCAGGACTAAAAACAGATTATATATTTTTTCCTGTAATTGATAGATAATAAACATCTGTCATATTTTTGGGTTGGGGAGATGCTGATTTTAAACTGTATTCAGACAATTTCCAAGCTGTTTTTTTAGTCCAGTATTGGCTACTTGGATGGCTGGTTGCTGTCCACAGATAGTATTTACCATCACCTGCTTCCTGATCTCTTTAATGCTAGGGATTGGCGCTAGAACCTTCTGCATGCAAAGTATGTGCTCTACTATTGAGCTATGTTCTTTCCCCAACATTAAAGTAACAGCTGCAAGCTTAAAGTAACTTGCAGCGGAAAGAGGTTCAGTGATGGCTGGTGCTGTGATCCACACATGGCTAGCAAACCCACTTTGCAATCATAGTAAGGTATGTTAGGGCTGCCAGCATTGATGCTGTTATTGTGAGAAGGCAGCCTTTTATTTAGCAACAACTTGCTTGGTAGCCATTGGTGACTAGAAGTTTTATGCAGGCGAGGAGCAGACTGACAGAGGAGAGATGGGACACTTTGTTTCCCCTTCCCTTTTCATACAATGGTATCATGGGTTACAGACACTTCAGGTTACAGACTCCGCTAACCCAGAAATAGTATCTCAGGTTAAGAACTTTGCTTCAGGATGAGAACAGAAATCGCGCGGCAGCGGCGTGGCGCGGCTGCAGTGGGAGGCCCCATCAGCTAAAGTGGTACCTCAGGTTAAGAACAGTTTCAGGTTAAGAACGGACCTCCGGAACGAATTAAGTTCTTAACCTGAGGTACCACTGTACTTGGTTTCTGTGCTAGCCATGGAAGAAGAAAAACCCTTTCCTGGAATATTACTAGCCTCTTGGCAGTTAAGCTTGCTATGGTTTAAAAGTTAAATGAGCAGCATGCTGGTGCATGGGGAGAAATCACAGCTGATTCTCTTCCACTCCTGTGCTAAGCCATGGCTGGGCATAGCATTATGTCTGAACCTGGGCTTGTGGTTTGTCTCTCTGTAAAGAAACCATGCACTGTAACCAAGATTTGTTACTGGCTTACATAGGAATGATAGATGTGGTTAGAATATATGCAGTATAAAGTATTTTAATTTTATTCGGGGTAGAATTTGAGCATTTCTAACAATGGCAAAACATAATATGCTTTTTTGAGATTGCACCTCTTTAAATTGTCTTTACTTTTCAATGTGTTGTGTTATTTTACAATTGCAATGCTTAAATTATTAATCATCAAGAGGTTTTTTTTGTAGTTCATGCCTTTTTTCATCCATAAGCTTATATAAACTTCGATTCAAGGTTTGTTTTTTTACATTTAGGAAGAAAATATTCATTCCTGGCTTTTGTAAACATGAGAACTGCCTATGATTTCCATATATATTCTCTTCTCTTCCTATGTTTTTAAATTAAGGAAGTTGTTTGTTTTTACATGTGGTTATAAATATTCAAGTATTCATAAGCAATTTGTTCTGCTGTAGACTAGTTTTCTTAACTCCATTTCTTGGGTCAGATGCCACTTTTAATTTAAAATGAACATGGGCCAACAAATGTCTGCAACAGATCCTTGTAGTGAGCATAGAGACAGCACAGCAATTAATGGAAATTCCCCAGCTTCATTTAGAAACTAAATACAGTTTATTTTAGACTAACTTTGGCATGTAGGCTATGTTAAAAACTTCTCCCGGTTTGCATACTTTCGTGTGCTGTATAAAACACAGTTTGGCCAAAGCAGATTCAAAGGATCAAATATACAAAATGATTCCCCCAAGCAAGTAAGAAGAATGAAGTTGGGTTGTAAGAAGAGGTCTAGAATGATTCCTTAGGCACTAGTCATCTGTCAAGTCATTCCGTAAGCCTGACAGAAAAATGGGGAAATCAATGCTACATTGGACCCAGTTCTGTATGAACTGCATCAAATGTATTGCAACTTCATAGAATAGACGCGGGTGGCGCTGTGTCTAAACCACAGAGCTTAGGTCTTGCTAGGTCCATCGGAAGGTCGATGGTTCGAATCCCCGCAACGGGGTGAGCTCCCGCTGCTCGGTCCCAGCTCCTGCCAACCTAGCAGTTCGAAAGCACGTCAAAGTGCAAGTAGATAAATAGGTACTGCTTCGGCGAGAAGGTAAACGGCGTTTCTGTGCTCTGCTCTGGTTTCACCAGAAGCGGCTTAGTCATGCTGGCCACATGACCCAGAAAAACTGTCTGCGGACAAACGTTGGCTCCCTTGGCCAGTAAAGCAAAATGAGCGCCGCAACCCCAGAGTTGTTCGCGACTGGACTTAACTGTCAAGGGTCCTTTACCTTTACCTTTTTACCTTGGTTCTCGAACTCAATTCGTTATGGAAGTACGTTTGACTTCCAAAACATTAAAAAACCAAGGCACGGCTTCTCATTGGCTGATTGGCCCCGGAAACAATGCTAACAGCCAAAACGGATGTTCGGCTTCCGAAAAACCTTTGTAAACCGGAACACACACTTCTGGGTTTGCCGATTTGGGAGCCGATTTGTTCGTCAACTAAGCCATTTTGGAACCAAGGTACCACTGTAACTCAGCTGGAATTTTTTTTGTGTGAATTTGAATCTGCTGCTTCCCAAGAGGTGCAAGGTTTCAGAACTACCACTTCTACTGGTAAAATAATGTAGATTGTTAAAATAGGTACAGTGCCGTATAGTCCCTACGTGTGGTGCTTTTGTAGTAAGAGATAAGTATATTTTCTTCTTTTTGAAGAGATGAGGTATTGAATCTGTGACAAAGGAATTTCTTCAAGTCAATATAGTGAGTGTTAGGTTGATTTTCCAGACCTGTATATAATTTTATATATTAAAAGTCCCAAAGCTATTTACGATATATATAATACAACAAAACACAATAAAATTTATTAAAGAATGCAGAAATTCACTTCAGTAACAATTATAAAAGCACCCAGATGTGGGATTTGGGCCCTGATCATGTTACTTTTTTACGTGTAAAATCCTCTACATATGCTTATAGAATATTAATATGTGAATATAGCAAATATTTGTTTGTGAAATGTGTTATATGCATACTGATTAAAGAGCTGTGATTGGTTTTTGCAGCCCCCAAAAAGTATAAAACTGAGGACAACCATGGTTTTTAGGAAGCTGCCTTATATGAGGTCCAGTTTATTTGTCCACATAGCCCTTGTACTATGCATAGTAGTGACTCTTCCATCACCACCTGGAAATGGCAGGGATTGGCTTGATGCATGCAAAGCATGTGCTTTGGTAAAGAGCTCCATTTATCGCCAACTTAATTGTGAAGTGGCCCTGATCTGATGTCCACTAGACCATACAGGCTCTCATGAATTATTTTAATTTTTTTGTCCATTACTGCATATCGCACATGTGAATGAACGGAAATAGTGTTCTTTAAATAAAACGGCAATGTAAATGTTAAATTTAAAGGTTTGGATGAAAAAACTGTGAGTAGTTGGATAAAATGTTCTGTTTCTGTTCCATGGACTTTTGTATTAGTAGAGCATACACTCTTGCAGCCTGGGAAAATGAACATTGCTATATATTAGGGTAGAAATCCTTGAGCATCAAGAGACAATTGCAGCTTGGTTGGCTGGTAGCCAGCTTGGAATGGTAACACACTGGCAATAATCTGCCATCTTTTTCCTTTTTTAAAATCAAAGCACCATGTTGTGATAAGATTGCATTGTTATGTGGGCAGGACTGGGTAGTATTATAGAAGAAGCATCTCAGCTCTTTGTACTTTTTCTGAATGTTCATACATCTTCTACAACTTGCAAGGGGATTTCTGGCAAAATTTTCATTGGTTGATTTCTTCAATTAGCTTTGTTTTTGATCAACTTAGCTTCCTGATTTCATGAGGGAACTTGCAAGACAGAGGGCAAATATCTGTGTTGGTGACTTAGTGGTGTATGTACATGAAAGGGAAATGATACCACTGGGATGACTGTTCTTCTGTCTTTGCTTTTTCCTTGGACAGATGTTTTTTCCTCCACTGCTGCCTCCTCAAACCAAGACCCCTACTGTACAGTTCCCCTTTCCATGTCTGGCCCTCATTCAACTCCTTAACACTTGAAAACCCTTGTTCTCATTTTAAAACCAACATAAAAGAGTAACTGGATATACACGTTTAGAGCTAGCTAGTTTCTGGTCATCAGTAAACAAAGTTGTGGTGCAACTCTGTGGCTCTGTACTATTATTGTACTAGTTTTTTAGTTGTCAACCCCCCCCCCCTTACGAAGCACGAAAGCAGACTACAATTTCCTCGTCTTCGACTGGAGGGTCTCCCCACTCCAAACATTTGAATTTGAATTTCTGGTGGCAACTAAGACTCATCTGGCAGCTGCTTCAAGTGTTCAGTTTAATCATTTTTCAAAATAGGCTCTCACCTTTTCTGGGACTGGAAGTATAACGTTAAGATACTCACAGAACAGGGCTGGAGAAAATATTGAGATTGAACTGTTCTGTCCTGCATGTCCAGAACATGAATCTTTTGTAAGAATTGAAGAGCAGAGGAGGTTCTAGAACTTCTGGGTATGAGGTTAGACAGACTCAGTATAATGCCTTTCTGTAGGGGATATCGTGGTTCTTAACTGTTGTCATCAGCAGGAGCACATGTCATACATGAAAGTCTCATGAGGCTGGCATGCATTGGTGTGCTGATAAGAACTTAGAATTAAACAGTAGGAATCTAATCATTAAACAGCATGGCAAGCAAGTTCCAACATCTCACTAGCCTATACACTCCCCCAACCCACCCACACATTCCTGTGTGCCCCACGTTGGGAACCATGGATCTAGGGGGTGTGCAGGGGAGGAGGAGGAGAAAATGTTCTGTTGCACAAGGAAAAATCTTTGCACATTTGCACAGTGCTTTGTTGAATACGACCCAATGAATCTACAATAAGAAATAGCAAATCACTAATTTTTGTTTATTTAAAATATTTTTGATAGCAAACTGAAAAAGCTAAGCGAAGACAGCTTGACTAAACAGCCTGAAGAAGTATTTGATGTATTGGAGAAGCTCGGTGAAGGGTATGTATTACTTTATGTGCTACAGAGAGGTGGGATGGTTGGGAAGACTCTAAACAAAACATCGCACAAACACAGACAAGAATAGTACAACTGACCTAGAGCTGGAAAAGCTTCTTTATTTGGACTAGTGCCCACAGCCAAGAAATATTTTGGAGCTGTGGGAAAGCTCCATATTACCCATGTGAGTGTAACAATGCTCTGATAGGCATTTAAAAATAAAAAATAAAATGAAAACACGATTTGGTGATTTTGAGTGGAGAAGGGGCTAGTTATCTTTTCTCCTGTTAGCCATGCTTATGTTCCAGATTGCATTTCTTCTCCTCCATCCCTACAATTCTTCCTTTGCATGCTTCTAAACAGGTGTTTTGCCCCTTAAGTCAACTTCTGTTGCTGTCATAGCTGAAGCTGCCTCTGTGTGACCTCCCTATCCTCCTTTCTCTTTGAAACATCAACAAGACCTATTGCAGGTTAACTACCATTACTCACAGAGCAAGGGAATATGTTAATGCTCACACTCTACCGCAGGCATAGGCAAACTCTGCCCTCCAGATGTTTTGGCACTACAATTCCCATCATCCCTGACCACTGGTCCTGTTAGGTAGGGATGATGGGAGTTGTAGTTCCAAAACATCTGGAGTGCAGAGTTTGAGGAAGCCTGCTGTACTGAAAAAGCATTGACTGAGGCCTGTTTCACTGGCAGCACTTTGCTATGTGGGTGTCGGTTCCATCTAAGAAAACGATGTACTTCCTAAAATCAGGGAATACTATTGAGATCTTTATATTCATTACTTCTATTGCACAATTCTGTGGTTGCTCCCCATTTGTGGAATCCTCTCCCTAGGAAGGCTCGCCTGGCACTTAAGGCGCCAGGCGAAAACATGCCTCTTCTCCCAGGCCTTTGGCTAATTAAACAATCTATGGCCTCTTAAACTGTGTGTGTGTGGGGGGGAAGGGGTTACTGCTTTTGTTTGTTACTATGCTGTGCATTTTTATGTTTTTATATTGTAAGCCACCCTGTGAACCTCAGATAATAGGCAGTAAAGAAAACAAACAAACAAACAAACATTTAAAGCCAGGGCATCCTGTTTTAGAGGCATGTGAAAATGAAGCCTCTACAATGAACAAATGTGGCTTTTGCATTAACTATTTATAGGTTGGTTTGAATGAACTGCAATTTTATTATTCAGAGCTTAAATTAGTTGGAAACTGTTTTCTTTTCTAGGTCTTATGGGAGTGTATTTAAAGCCATTCATAAAGAATCTGGTCAAGTAGTGGCAATTAAGCAAGTTCCTGTTGAATCAGATCTGCAGGAAATTATTAAGGAAATTTCTATAATGCAACAATGTGACAGGTATGAAGTACATACTTATTGTGAGAGCTCTTCTTCTTTTTTTTTAATGCCTAAAATATTTGATAGTGTAAGTTTGAATCTGCTGAGAATTTCAAGCTGAAGTTCAAAGTCTCCTTTAAAGTCTTCACAGTTCAGTTATGAGAAATGTGGATGCTTTATTGGGCTTTTAATCTTGCTACCCGCCTTTTCTACCTACTGGCTAATGCAGTTGGGTGAGTGGAAGAGGACTGATGCATCCTTTCTTCTTTCTTTGAAGTATTTTTATACCTTGGTACTGACTCTGGTGCCCTGACAAAGCTTGATCATGTTTCATGTTCGTTATTTATTTATGCATAAATTACTGCTGAATGAAGGAAAAATATTCTCAAAGGCTATATGCACAAAAATGCAAAGATCAAAAGAACATAGAACAAGGTTGCATGGTAGGGTAGTACTGTGTAAACAAAATTGTTTTAAGCTGACTTCTAAGGCTGAACACAGAGGACCCCTGTCTAATATACAAAAGCAATGAATTCCACAGTTCATCTCAGAATTGACATCAGGTAGTTACAGTTCAGGTTAGATGCAAGGTAAATATTGGAATGAAACGAATAGTGGACCAATTGGTTTTTATTTAAAGAAAGGTTTCCTTGAAGAATGCTGTTTAGCACAGTAAACATGGTGATGTATGAATACATAAATGCTGTCTAGGAAACTTGCCTGTAGGGTGGTCAACAAAAAATCCAAATCTCCCTTTCCATTCATCAATGATATAGTGGGGTCCACTACGCCTCATTTGTGGTCTTCCTTAGTAGTGGTGCATGGCTGTTCTGTTTTTGAGATGGCATTGAATAGATTTCCTTGGACTAAGAAGCTGGAAATATGTCTGGAGTAGTTTGAGCAAAGAGGATATCCTCCTTCTAATAAATGTTTACAGTCTGCTCTGTCTCATGGATTGAGAGCAGGTCGTATCTTGGTGTAGGCTCCTGTGTTTGAATTTTTCTTCAGCTGCTTTGGGGATTCTATTTAGCTAGCAAGGGCAAGGCAGAGGAGCCAAGCATCAAGATGCTGGAACTCTTTTAAACTATACTGCAGTTATTCACCGGTGATGAGAGCCTTGGTTCTTCAGATGAGGCAGTAAGAGGGATTAAGTGGGGTTTCCATCCCTGCAGAAGGTTGGCAGTGATAGGTAGATAAGGGTGTGCCCTTAGTAAAATATTTGTGAATCACTCCCTTGTAAAATATTTGTGTGGAGAATACCTCCCTTTCTTTAGAGGCTTGCTTTTTTATCAGCGAAGATCTTTATGGACAAATGCAAATGCCCCAAAACACACAGTAGTTAAAGTAAGACTAACTGACCTGAATTAGAAGATTGCAAGAATGTTGCTCAGCTCTAAATATTTAAATATCATATATACTTCGGCAGGCTTTTATCATTTGTTTTTATTGCAGTTTGTTAATCTTTAGTGTAAGGTCTTCAGAATTTGTTATGGAGATTGTCCCAAAATATTGTATCCTAGGAATAGCACAATTGTAAGGGGCAAGGTTTAAAGTCTGCCATATATCGCTGATAAGGATGAAATGGGATTTTATGATGTATTTGTTCAGAGTTTGGTAGATCTCTGGGTTGGATTTGGCTGGAGATGTCCTGTTGATATGTCAGTAGTAGTAGTTGTGCTTAACTCAGTAGTGGTGAGAGATAAAAGTTAAGCACTAAAATCTAGAGGCAACGAGAGCTCCTTGACCTAGGGAGAAAAGGAAGTCTTAAACTCTCTTAAGCAAAGAGACTAATGTAGCATGGTGGCACTATGTATTTAAAATTCCTAATTAATGGAGATAATTTCCCTATGAATAGATTGTAATATTGTCTTGTATGTTCAAATACATATTTTATGGGGCTTTTTAGATACAGTTACCTTAATCAGGTGACATTTAATATAGTGCAGAAGCAGGTGTCTGTAAGTGGATCGCTTGCTGCTTGGGAGTATGAATAAAAAAGAGGGGTTACATATGAAGGAACCCTTTGAATGAATATATAGCGCCAAGCAAATGGTTGCCTTTATCCATGCTCATGCTTTTAACCAACAATTTGGCTGGCAAGCATGAGCAGTAAGATGTAGGTTGGGGGCAGGAACATATTGGCTTGTATCTAACCATTGGTGTTTTGTGAGCTCAAGGGCTTTTGATCCAGTGAAGGTGGCCATGGAAGAGGCTTGGGAGGTGATTTTTGCTAATTTCCCCCCTCCCCTTGTAGCCTCCATTGTCCCTGAAAATTTGTTATGAAGGGTTGGGGGACCAACCAGAACAGATTTTTCTGGGATCTGCTGGAGCAAGGGTCAGCAACCCGCGGCTCCGGAGCCGCATGTGGCTCTTTTACACCTTTGCCGCGGCTCCGGGGCGGATACTAGCGAGGGGAGGAGGCGCATTGTGCGCCCCGACATTCCCCACTGTGGCGGGCGCTGTACTGGCTGTGACGTCGCATGGGGGCGGGGCGTGCGTTAGTCACGCCCCGTCCCGACGTCACCTTCCCGCCCGATTGTGGCTCCCAGTTTTTTTTCCTTCGGAAACGGGTCCAAGTGGCTCTTTTTGTCTTAAAGGTTGCAGGCCCCTGTGCTGGAGAAACCAGAAAAAGCCGCCCTTTTCAGTTAGTGGATGCCTCCCCTGGAGCATTAGCATACGGAACACAAATTGGATTCCACTCTTTTGTCTTTTTTATTACCTGTCAGAAGGCTATTATATTTGAATGTCCCAGATTAATATCATCTGGCCTTTTAGTTTATTAAAATACCTTCTAATCTGAGTGCACTGGGGACAATCACTAGAGATGATAATTAGGATTCTTTTTCTTCTCTTCTAGTTTGGTATGTGACATGGGTGGGGAACATTTTTCAGCTTGAGGGCCACATTCTTTTCTGGGGGCCTTGGAGAATGGAGCTGGGGGGGGGGAGTGGGTAGAGCAATGAATATGATTTGTACCTTCTACCCAGTGCATTTTTCTGGGGGTTCGCAGGTGTACGCATACCCCTAAACATTTATTGAATCTTTGCCCTTTTGTCCTTTTACAGTATTTATTTTTCCTGATTTGAACTACAAAATCGTGATTTTCTTGAGTCAAAATGAGAGTACCCCTAAACATTTTTAAAGAAAAAAAAGCACTGCTTCTACCGTAGGCTAGTTTCTATAGTCACATGACCCTCTCTGTCCGTCATCTAGGCAGGCAGGCAAGTAGGCAACATTATCAGAATTCGAGGATTTATTCTGGCCAGGCAGAAACACTGAAGGAGGCTGGTGGGGTGTGTGGCCTCTGGAGAAAATCCTGAGGCCTCGAGAAATGCCTATAGAGAGGCCTAGGAGGCCTAATTTGGCCACTGGGCCTGTGTCTGACTTTTTCATTCATATACAAAAATGGCGAGTGGTTATCTATTTTGCAAGGGTGCTCTAAACCACAGAGCCCAGGACTTGCCGATCAGAAGGTCGGCAGTTCGAATCCCTGCGACGGTCCCTGCTCCTGCCAACCTAGCAGTTCGAAAGCACGTCAAAGTGCAAGTAGATAAATAGGTACCGCTCTGATGGGAAGGTAAACGGTGTTTCCGTGTGCTGCTCTGGTTCGCCAGAAGCGGCTTAGTCATGCTAGCCACATGACCCGGAAGCTGTACGCCGGCTCCCTCGGCCAATAAAGCGAGATGAGCTTCGCAACCCCAGAGTCGGTCACGACTGGACCTAATGGTCAGGGGTCCTTTACCTATCTATTTTGCACTCTTAATTATTAGCACGTGCACCAACATCTTTAGTTCTGTTTTCTAAATCCTATCATAAAACTCAGGCAGCTGCTTGGAAAAATGATACCAAGCTCTGATTCTAGCTAAATTTATCCTGGACAGTACTGCTTCTTAATATTCTTGAAGGTTCACATCTGTTTGTTGATAACCCATGTTTTTGTGTTCAGCCCTTATGTTGTCAAGTACTATGGGAGCTATTTTAAGAACACGGACCTGTGGATTGTTATGGAGTACTGTGGAGCTGGTTCTGTCTCGGACATAATTAGATTACGTAATAAAACGGTAAGTGTTTAATTATTTTTTTATAAAATACTGTTACCTTTGCAGTTGTTTGCATGAATAAAAAAAGTGTTCCCAACGAAGATTTATTAACTTGAGGAGGATGTTCATAAGGGCCCCATTCTTTCCCTGTTTACTTTTATATTAGTTGATAGTGATTTATATTAGTGATAGTGATTCTCCTGCCGCTGTTTAAAGTACAATAACATGCCATGACAGAGTCTAATAATCTTTTCAGACCATGTCTAATAAAAATGTAAGAAGTTTATGAAAGGGAAATATGATTTGTCCACTGTTTTTTTCAGAGAACCACAGACTTAACCTTGGCAAATCATATTACTAGTATATACCAACATGTCAGAGGAATAAGGCTGAGTCTCTTGGGTTGCTGGAATATGAAGCAGCCCTGCATCAACCAATCTTCATGGCTGTTTATAAGGAAGAAGATATTCTCTCTCTTTTATGTGGTGTTCAAGCTGTAGAGGACATTAAAGTAAAAAACCATATTTGTGGGCTGGTAGGAACATGAACTGGGATGCATAAAGTAGGAATTTGAGTCTGAGAAGCTGATGCTCAGTCAGTGGTTGTGATCCTGACTCAGGAGGGTCATGGAAGGGGCAGACTGGCAAGAGAGGCAACCCTTTGCTGGCGAGGAGCTGCAAGAATTGGCTGCTAGGATGAGGGTGCAAATTCAGTTGTATTTATAAGCTGATGTTCATTTGTTAACATTAATATTTATATTTATTGCCAGGCTGATAGTTTAAAAGTTTAAAGATCATAAACTTTCAATGAACAGATTCTGACTGTAGTTCATAAGCTATTTGGTTCTTAGACCTTTGTTTTTAAATGTGAACTTCACTGGAAAACACACACACACATTACATTTGGAGGTCAGTGATTGTTCTTGAGTTCCAATCATAGTTTGGAGAAAAACAAACCACGGATGTAGGTTCCTCTGTCAAGACCTGCTATCTACCATTAAACCATGGTTTATTTAAAACAATGACTTATTGTTACACATAAACCAGACCTGTATCTGGTTCAGAATGATAGTTTTACCTTTTCTCCTCTCTTTAAAATTATTTGATATGGTAAAATACAAAATCAGTTTGTCCTCCTTATTGCTTATTATTCATGAAGGAAATAATGAAACCATTAGAAAATACCTAGTAGAAGTAAACTCAGTGCCAACAATTTTAGTTTAGTCAAGAATTTCATAGAAGCATAGAGTTGGAAGGGACCCTGAGGGTCATCTAGTCCTGCGTGTAATGCAGGAATCTCAACTAAAGCATCCATGATAGATGCCCCTCCAACCTCTGTTTAAAATCCTATAAGGATGGAGAGTCCGCTTGAGACATGCTTGAGTGTTGTGGGAAGAAAAAGAGAAAACGATGGACTGGCTGGTTTATGATTTCATATTTAGAAGCACATATATTATATCCATCACAAGGAATTGGAGCTTAGAAGTCAGACTAGCCTTGTAGCATACATATGACTAGGAAGGACTGAGCCTCTTCTCACATTTCCAGTCATATTTCTTCTACATAGCTGTCCATGGATATGTCCTCACGGACTAGTGTTTCCTAAGTGCAGCCACCAGAGTCAGTGTGGTTGTGAGCTCAGTCCTGTGCTCCTGTGTCTTGGAGGCTGTGTGCTAGTCAGAATCCCAGCAACATAGCATTTACTTAGATTTTCACAGTCTGACTTCTGGTGGAAGCATCCTAAGGTTGAAGGAAGATGTCCTGAAAATGTGGGCCGTCATAGTTAGACCATGAATTCTGTAATCAGTGATGGAGCAGTTCAACAATCTAGGCGGATGAAGATGGCATTACTTGTATTTTAATGACGCACATGGATTTGGCGTAGTATTTGGGCACTGTTTTATCTATTCGTTTGCTGCTCTATAATCATAATCTCAGGGCAGTTTACAACAGAGATAAAAATATTAAAGCTATGTAAAAACACATTAAAAATGCATAAAAAGATGGGCCATATAAAACTTATTTTAAAGCAGCAATATATTAAAAATTTTGGGGTGGGTGGGAATAAAAAATTACTTGCTTAGTACTGAATGTGTTCAAGGTTCTTAGTATCTACCTTAAGTAGATCCTAAAGTTTAGGCAGGTGTATAGAGAAAGCTGATCCTTCAGGTACCCCAGCCCTAAGCAATAAAGGACCTTAAAGATCAAAACCAGCAATTCAAACACTACTGCAGTCAGTAAATACACAACCCAAAGGGCATATTGTCAGAAAAGTTTGTAATACAATCCTGTTTTGATAAATTGGGAAGACAGGGAGAATTGTATCTATAACAAAATAAAACACAAGCCAGGCTTTGAGTACATTACAAACTCTTACACTCACTTTTCATGTCCTGTTTGTTTAGGTCCTCCGTCCACAGTCTTTTTTTGTGGGACCTCTGCTCCTGTTTGATGCTTGTTGATTTTTGTGGGATCTAATTCATGTTCGAGGAGGTCAAGCCATGTGGATTGGATTGCAGGAGTGGGACCTTGATTGGGGGTCTTGCTTTCTGTATTTGTAAAACATTTTGCATAACCTTATGCGTGCCATATAAATAATAATTATAAGGCAGTTTGCATAATTTTGTGTTACAGTTTCTCAGTCTTTCAAATTGTTTACGTAAGTGTGTAATCAGTGTGTGTACACACAGAAGAAGAAAATGTTATTTATGTTTCTCCATAGCTTACAGAAGATGAAATTGCAACCATTCTTAAATCTACGCTTAAAGGACTTGAATATTTGCATTTCATGAGAAAAATACATAGAGATATAAAGGCTGGAAACATTCTCTTAAACACCGAAGGGCATGCTAAATTAGCTGACTTTGGAGTGGCTGGACAGTTAACTGTAAGTATAAAGTGTATGGGTAGAGTCATATTTTATAAATATGCACTGCGCTTCCTACAGTCTGTTGTAGGGAGAGATGAGCTTTTTCCCATTTGAAAAGTGCAGTTAATTTGGCAGTCTTTGCTTACTGAAGTTAGCTTTTTTTGCGTGTGCCTTTTGAATCTTGTCCAAACTGTGTCCTGCAGAACTTTTGAACAGTGGGTTGAGCCCAGACTTTTTGTTATGCCCAGAGCATGTGTTGAACCATTCACAGAACCAGTTCCGCATGTGTCACTTGGCTGGGAAAGTAATGTGAATAAAATAGTTCAGTGGTTTGCCTTTAGAGATGGAGGCCTAACTTCTGACAATACTTTCTCTACTGAAAAATACACTGGATTATGGACTGTTGAAGTTGAATGTGGGATCAGATATTTAGGGGTGCTTCATACATTATATTGTGGCAGATGTATTTGCATAGAGAGCTATGGCCAGTCCCAATGCCCTGGTGCATATGACTGTAATTTTTGTGTGCTCTAGATGCCATTTTCTGTAAGCACATATTGCAATTACACACAGGGTTGTGTATACTGTTGTGTGTGTGTATATATATACACACATACACACATATGTGCTATGTATATGTATGATGTATGTTGTGTGTATACACACACAAGTACATTACTTTTTACACACACACACACACACACACACACACGTGTAATGTGTGAAAAAACTATGCATGTGTTTGCGGCTTCAAATATTGTTTAATTATTGGAGGCACAAACATGGCCTCCAGAACATTGTATTAGACTCTTTTGTACCTATCTAAAATAAGGCTGTTTTTCTTGGAAATAGGCCTTTTAGGAGAAAGCGCATTGCTGAGCTTTCTTGAGGCACTGGTGTTAAGTTCAGTTGCACAGATTCCATGTGATATTATAATGGGAGAGAGAGATGCAAATACATTGAGAGATGTTAAGCTTCTTAATAATGTCATTACAGGATACAATGGCAAAACGCAACACTGTCATAGGTACTCCGTTTTGGATGGCTCCAGAGGTAATACAAGAGATTGGTTATAATTGTGTGGCAGACATCTGGTCCCTTGGCATTACCTCAATAGAAATGGCAGAAGGAAAGCCTCCGTATGCTGATATACACCCAATGCGGGTAAGAATCATACACAGTGACTTTTTTATTAATTACATGCTGTATAATGTTGCTCATTGGAAAAGTGGAACAAGTGGTTACATTGGTCATCTTGAGTTGATTGGAACTACAGCTGAATGTCCAGTTGCTACTTCGATCGGAGATTTAAAACTAAACTGCTACGAGTAAAGTGTAAATCTTATAGTGGTAGAAGGCACTAAAATATGCTACACAACAGTTAATATAGTCCAAAAGTGATCGTTTACTTCATGTCATTTAATAGGCAACTGTTGCTGTTAATGACAAGTTTAAAATCTTAAGTTCAATTACACCTGCTGCTTTGATTTCCCCCCAAAAGACAGCTACTGTCACCAAGGATATTTTGATATTTGCTTATCTAATGATTCTGCTCTTGGGGCATTTTAAGGAGTTAAATCACTTTTGCCAGGGTGGAGAACCTGTTTTCTCTCCAGATGTTGTTGGATTAGAATCCCCATTTATTCCTGGCATCTGACCATGCTGGATGGATGGGCTTATAAAGGGAGCTAAAGTCCAAAAACATATTGAGTTTAGAACAAGAATTTAAATAAGAGAGTAGTTTAATGTTTTCATATTTCATATTTTTAGTGGCTCATGCTTTGCTTTTTTTTAAAAAAGTGATGGGTCTTATATCTTGCAATGTCACCTCTTTTGTTTCCAATAGGAAACAAACAAGCTGTAACTATGGACATACTATCATGATATAAGTTAATTGTAAACTTTTATTTATTGTCTGTTATTTTATTTATGTGTGTATGGAACTGTGATAAGGCTGCTACTTTTGATGGCACGTAAATGCATAGGCATCTGTAAATTTCCTGGCACATTTGGTGATATTTTTGAATCTAAAGAAATATGTGCCCTTATTCTTGGAGACATAATGATTAGTGATGACTACAATGGCTTCTTAAAATTTAATGATATCATCCTCATTACATCTGGGATAACTTTGACATAATTGCTTGTAGTTGCACTTGGTAATGAAAGGTACGAGCTTAAATTATTGGAGAATATTTTCTAAGCATAATAGCTGCTTTTAAATTAAGGGTTAGTGTTTTAACTTGACAGAATGTGAATATTTGTAATGCTTGTAATCAGTCGTATTAAATCAAAAGGGCAAATTCATTTTAAAAATAACAATTCTGGCTTATATGGTGCACATGTTCTTGTTAATAATTTGTGTTCTGGTTTTTAAGGGCTTGTAAGCAGTTACTACTCTTTTGTATATTTGATACCCTACAGTTCTTCTTAATTTTTATTAGAGAGTTGTTACAGTGGTTGAGAAGAAATACACAGATTTCAGTTGTGATAGTTTTCCCAGTGTTATATGATCCAACTTCACAAGATTCCTGGACATATGTAGATGCTTTTCTATTTTGTTTTCGTTAAGACATTCAATTGATATAGGCAAGCATGAAAGCTCGGGCAAATTTTCATTGCTTTTTCTGGATCTTGCTTAGATTCTGTGGTATTTATGTAAAACACTGTTTTGTTACTTGGGAATGCATGCTGAAGTTATTCCTTATGCTATTTTGCTGTAGGCTGGTTGGCACTGCCACAAAGGTAATGCATTGCCAGTAGGCCATTTCCTTGTCAATTGCATTTACAATCTAATAGAGATATTACATGACTTTTTAAACAAGTGTTTTGGCAGGGGCGGAAATGGCAGATTCCAAGCAAACAAGCATAGCTTCCTCTCCCTAACCACGCACTAGCTACTCAAGGAGTTGTACTAAAACTTGTGAGAGTGCGAAGGTAAGGAAAGGATTTCAGGTTGAAAGATGGCAATAAAAGTACTTTAGGGCTCAGTATTTGGGAATATATATCAGATCTTTGTCAAAAACCAACCCATTCTTGCTGCGGTTGGAAAGGTGTTGACAATCAGCCAATGCAGTAGGCTATTTACTATATTTTAAAATCTGTGCAGTATGCCTGGGGCTACTTTCCACACTTGATCTAATGTTACTGGTAGTTTTAGGAATGTCAGATGTAAGGGCCACCTGCTTCGTTGGCATCAGTGAATGTTCTTTTTAGATGTTTAAAACCTTTAAAGTATCAACTTTTTGTGGCAGGAAGTCTCAAAGGGGAAAAGATTTACTTGGTGTAAGTAGTAGATTGCAATCTCTAGTGGAAGTGCTTTGGAGTTCCTGTTCATATATCAGAGTTGAAGTAATGGTGAAGCAAATTGAAATATGAAAGATGGCTATAATGGGGACATTGTATAAATGTTTCTGTTCCAGTATTGTGGCAACTCTATGTGGTGGCCTGCCACCAAAAACCAGCCTCACTTGTACAGGGGTAGGGAACTTGCGGCCTTCCAGATATGGTTGGACTATGGTTTACATCATTCTTGTCCATTGGCCAATCTGTTTGGGAGTTCAACAGCATCTGAAGAGCCTCACAGGTTCATCACCATGGTTTAGTATGACCAAACATACAGCTTGACATCACCAGACTGCAATTTCCCCTGCTCCCACAAATGATAGCCAATGAAATAGGGCAGGGTAAATTTGTGCTATTAAATAAATTTGAGATAGTGTTATGAGTTCTGGTCCCTGCACTTTAATAAAATTATAGATTAATAGGAATGGGTCAGAGCAGGACAATGAAGATGGTCTACAGTATGGAAAACAAACTCTGTGAGGAAAGACTGAAGGATCTGTTTCGCCTGGAGAAGACAGTTATTTTCATATATCTGAAGGCCTCTCACACAGAAGAGGGCAAAGTCTCATTCTCTGCTGCCTTACAGGGCAAAACTAGATCTATCAAGACTTCAGTTACAAGACGGTCTGTTTCATAAGAAGAGCCTGTTGGATCAGGTCAAAGGGCCATTTAGTTCAGCATCCTGCTCTCACATTGGCCAACCACATGCTTATGAACATAACCATTGTAGCTAGTAGCTGTTGACAGCTTTATAGTCTATGAATTTGTCTTATTCTTGATAGCCGCCAACTTGGATGGCTTTAATTACATTGGTTGAATATTGTTGGTGCTGCCACCAATGGGGGCTGCCTGGTTGGAATTGACCCATGACAGGACCTTTTCAGTGGCAGTTCCCCTAGATGAGGTGTTTCTGTCTCCCTCTTCATTAACTTTCAAGAGGAATTAAAAAACATTCCTGTTTACCCTAGGCACTTGAAGTATGAAATACACTGTTCCTGGCAAGCCTGAGATCACTGATTGAGATACAGTGGTGCCTCGCAAGACGAAATTAATTCGTTCCGCGAGTTTTTTTGTCTTGCGATTTTTTTGTCTTGCGAAGCACGGTTTCGGAAAAGTTTTGGAAAAGCTTCAAAAATCACCAAAATCTTCAAAAACCTCAAAAAAGGCTACCACACTGTGGTAGCTGTGAGTTGCTCCTCGAAGTCAAGTCACAACTGTATTAACGATTTTAAGAAAAAGGAAACAAACTTGCAAGACGTTTCTGTCTTGCGAAGCAAGCCCATAGGGAAAATCGTCTTGCGAAGCAACTCAAAAAACCAAAAACCCTTTCGTCTTGTGAGTTTTCCGTCTTGGGAGGCATTCGTCTTGCAAGGTACCACTGTAATGTTTTTAACTCTTTTTAGAATACTTAAATATATATTGATGTGTTTGCCACACTGGGCTTCTTTGAGAGGAAGGGCAGGATGAATGAATGAATGAATGAATGAATGTTGGGAGAACTTCTTTGTAATTATATCAGCTCAACAGTGTAACCAGTTACCTAAAGGACTGTTGGGCTATCCTTCACTGGAGGTCTTCAGGCTGAAGTTAGACAGCCTTCTGTTGAGGATGCTCTCTAGCTCTGAATTTCTAGTACAGTGGTACCTCGGGTTAAGTAATTCATTCATTCCGGAGGTCCGTTCTTAACCTGAAACTGTTCTTAACCTGAAGCACCACTTTAGCTAATGGGGCCTCCCACTGCTGCCGTGCCGCTGGAGCATAATTTCTGTTCTCATCCTGAAGCAAAGTTCTTAACCTGAAGCACTGTTTCTGGGTTAGTGGAGTCTGTAACCTGAAGCGTATGTAACCTGAAGTGTATGTAACCCGAGGTACCACTGTATCAAGCAGGCTGTTGGATGGCCTCCAATGCCTCCCTCCAATTGTAAGGTTCTGTGACTTGTAGTATGTGGAAATGTCCAGTGTGTCAAAACTTGTGATAGAGCAAAAAAACTTTAAACATTTCAACAGTCAGTTCACGCTTTCTGCAGTACCTACATTTTGCTTTTAAAATTGAACCCCCTTCTTACTCTTCTTCTGTGCTTTGGCCAGTTCTATGTTTCTACACCCAGAACTGCTTCCTTAGTATTTTACTTAGCTCTCACTTTTCTTACAATATAGTTTATGCATTTTTATGATGAGTACTTGCTAAATAGGTACCGCTCCTCTGGGAAGGTAAATGGCGTTTCAGTGCGCTGCTCTGGTTTGCCAGAAGCAGCTTAGTCATGCTGACCACATGACCCGGAAGCTGTACGCCGGCTCCCTCGGCCAGTAAAGCGAGATGAGCGCCACAACCCCAGAGTCAGCCACGACTGGACCTAATGGTCAGCGGTCTCTTTACCTTTACCTTACTTGCTTTTCATGGTTTGGAGGATTAGATCTGATAGACAATTTGCAATAAAAATATAAAACATGATCTCCAAATCCTCTTTTGAAGCCTTGGTGATTCTATGTATATGGCCCCAAGATAATTATTTCTGTATATCTTACGCTCTGAAGTAGGTACTTCACATATATTGTCTAGAGAATGGCATTTGTGCTTTACCTAGTGTCACCCAGCAAATCTCTTGGAAAGTGAGGAACACCGTGGAGGCCTCTGAAGCCCAGCTGGAACCTAACCCTGGGCTTACTTTCCTTTTCCTTCCTTCATCCTTTAGAATACACCCACATGAGCTTTCCAAGAAGGCTTCAGCCCTGGTGGCACTCCAAGAAAACATTGCCAACCTTTTGTATAAGCAATCTAGCATTGCAAATTTGCCCCCCCCTCTAATTTATGCTGTTTT